ACCTCTCTCTCTCCCTCTCCTTTCCTCTCTCTGAAATCAATAAAGATATATTTAAAAAAAAAAAACCAAAAACACAACACTTTGTACAGCTATACAAAAATATTTATATCCTTACTCTAGAAGCTATTTTCTAGTTTTAAAATTAATATTTTTAACTTTTAAAACTTATTTGTTATAAACTGATACACAAACACACATATTATCTTAGGCCTATAAAGGCCAGGAGGTCAGTGTCACTGTCTTCCACCTCCACACCCTGTCCCACAGGAAGGTCTTCAGGGGCTGTAACACATGGCACCTCCTGTGACCACAGTGCCTTTGATGGAAACCTCCTGAGGACCTGCCTGAGGGTCTCCTTGAGGTGTCACTTGTTCCAGAAATATGTCCGTGCTGGTTTGCTTGTTGTTGGTTTTTTCCATCATAGATTTGCTTATGAACAGATAGTGCCCCACAAACATTCTTCTCTATTAATGACCTTTCGGTGTTGGGGTCCATTGTTCACACTTCTGAAGGCAATTGTTGAGCTCTGCAAACACTTCTCCTGAGCCCTTTATTGTGCATTTCCCTGGAGGTTCTTATGGGACCACTGTCGTACATGGGGTCTATTGGTCAGAATCTTGTGCATGGCCCACGATGCGCTCCCTCTCCCTCTAAGCCTTTGTCCCATCCGTTTTCCATTTAGTGTCCTGGCTGGGCTGTTGCCCTTCATGCCTTCCGGAGTGCCTGGGACTTGTGCTGCGGGTCATGCAGCCATCGCTGGGTGTGCGCCGTGGCCATAGCTGGCTATGTGTTTGCCAAACAGTTCTTGCCACTTGTGTTTTTCCAGGACAGGTTTTATTTGTCCTGCTTCTTGGAAGCGAGTGGGGCCCTTAGTACAGGAGCTGGCTTCTGCTTTGTTGTTTTGCTCCAGGTCATTCTCCAATCAATAGCCTATAAATGCCCAGAAATCTGGACGTAGGTTGTGGGGGTGAGCTGGGTAACAAGCAGGTGTGATTTGAATAGTTGTGACAATTTGTAACTATCTTGATCTGTGCACATACAGAGTGTTTACTATTTGTCTAAGGTTGGGAGGGAAAGGAGTGTAATTAAGGAGCGACGTCTCCGTATGGATAAGCTCGGGTCACTTTCCATCATGTTGGGGACAAGGTGGCGGGAGTAGGTAATGTGTGTTGGGGACAAGGTGGTGGAAGTAGGTAACGTATGTTGTGTGTCTCAGTGTTCAGGAGTTCATGACCTTCACCAGTCAGCTGATTGTGGAGCGCTCAGCAAAAGGCAGCAGAGCTTCTGTCAAAGAACAAGGTAAGAGGACCTGCTACCCTTGCATGTGTGCTGGCCCGGCCGCCATGCCTCAGGCAGCCCGTGGGGCTGAGCACACCCTGTCGCCTCATGGAGGAGAGGGCTGCCAGGACCCCTTCTGCCAGCCTGATCACTCTTCCCTCCTCCTCCTCTTCCTACCTGCACAATATTCTGTGCCCACTGTGGGTGTCTAGCTGCTTGGTTAAAGTCACCCCCAAAGCTGGCATGCACTTCAGGTTAGGGTCCGGCTCTCAGAGCAGGAGACACCTCTCTTCCAGAGTGTAGGCATCTCAGAAAAGGATTTCCCGCTCGCCCTGTCCAGGCGCTACTGCTTTCTGTGCTTCTTAGATTTTGACAGGAGGCGTATGTTGTACAGACAGGTCCAGAAGGTGTGAGTGAACTTCCGGCAGAAACAAGGCCTGTGGCACGTTGCTCAGACCCTGGGTCCCACGGTGTGGAGGTGCTGTGTCGCCGGTGTCTGTATAAGTGGCTGTGCAGGGGGTGTCTCTGGCTGTGTTCTGTGTGGGACCCTGTGCACTTGCCTCCAGCCGTGTAGTTGGATTGTGGACATTTGAATATTCTTAGTACCCTTGGGCTGTGTCTGCCTTCCCAGCTTGGTGCTTACAGACCCCGACCCAGCTTGTCTGTGGTGTGTGATCTGTCCCCACATTTGAGTCTTTCTTACTTGGGCATAGACATCGGGAGCCTATTGGGGGTGAGCTCCTGTCCCTCATCCCTGCTGTCATTTGTCTGCCCATTGCTGGTTTCGGGGCTTGTGCCTTCCCTTGCCTCTAATTTGTTTTCCTTGTTTAGCTTCTGAATCTCCTGGCTGAGAGTCTTAAAGACAAGAAGGTTCTTATTCATCAGCTGCAGTCCTTTCCAAGTGACAGGAATTAATCCTGTGGATTGTGAATATCTGGCAGAAGCCTTTGTATAGACTGTGCATGTTGCTACTTTGACGACGCATAGTAATCCTGGAAACCCCAGCCTTCAGTGGCCAGTTTTTTCCTAGATGGGCCTCCCTCTTTGCTCCCTCCCTCCCTTCCCCTCCCCTCCCCAGAATGGAGCAGGCCAGACAAGGACCAGAGAGCTGATTTCTTGACTTGGGGTGACTCTTAAAGGTTTTTTTAAAAATAGTGGGGTTGCGTTGCTTGCCCAGGGTTTCCTCAGTTTGGGAGCAGAGCCTTGGGGGGCTGCCTCTCCCCTAAGGCCTGACCTGGAGCTTAAGGCTGTGCCTGGAAACGTGCCCTCAGACCCTGGCTTAGCACACTAGGCCTCGGGGCATTTTCTTGTCCTAAAGTGGGTGTTGGGCTGCGCTGACAGCCCGGCTCCTGAATGCGCTGTCCTGCGTGTGTTTCATCAAGCTGTGCTGCAGAGCGACCCACCAGCCTCACTCAGGGATTGTGGCTGGTTTGCAGAATGGCTTCACTGACCCAGAAGGCAGGAACCCAGCATGGTGACACTGAGAAGTCTAAAGCCCCCTGTTCCTCTCCGTATGTCTCCTTAGACTATCTGTGCCACGTTTATGTGCGAAATGACAGTCTTGCAGGAGTGGTCATTGCCGACAGTGAGTACCCGTCCCGGGTGGCGTTTACCTTGCTGGAGAAGGTGAGTTTGTAGTTTGGCTGGACTGGACTTGGGTGGACTGGGGCCAGGGTGAGGACAGTGCCCAAGGCCTAGGGATGAAGTGGTGGGTCCAAAGTCAGCCTGTGTTCGGCTTTCCCCTCACCCTTCCCAGGCTCTCTCCATGGCACTGATTTCTGCCCTGTATCTAGACTCGTGCCCCAGGGCTACTGTTACCCTCCCACCTGCCCACAGTCACTGCATCTCTCCTCTGGGACTGAGCCCTTGGGTCAGCTGTGGCTGTGCTCTCTCCCCATGTGACTTCCATTTCCTTCTGAGCCACACCCGGCTCCACCTCTGCCTTGTCTCTGACCTGCCTCCCCTCCATCAAACCTTCCCTGCCAACGCCAGGGTCCCCTCCTGACCTGTCCTGCAGTTCCGGTGGCTCCCTTCCCCAGTGTGGGCTCAGCACCTGCATGTTCTTCTGTTTCTTCATGTGGTACTGATTGCAAACTCCTGAAGACACTGGCCATGTCTTGTCCCCCAAGGGACTGATAAACTTATGAGCACGTGAAATTTGGTGGTGGCTTAACTCTTTCCTATTTGAAGAATTGATTGGAAAATTAGAGGGCTGGTATCCTAATTCCTGGAAGTTTATAACCTGATACAAGTGGAATCTGTAGTTTAAAATTCTAATACTTTTATTACTCATCAGCTAAGATTTGTTCTTGGAAAGTACTTGGGAAGGAGGAACTTGAGCTTGGACTTCCCCCTTGCTGCTGGCTCTTTGCCTCTGCCCTCCCCTGGGCCCTGGGAGCCTGAGAGCCTCTTTGGGGCCAAGTCTTGTTACTTGGGGCACAGTGAACACAGATGGGTGTTATTGAGTTCCTTTGTCTTGCAGGTGCTGGACGATTTCTCCAAGCAGGTCGACAGGATTGACTGGCCAGTCGGATCCCCTGCTACTATCCACTACTCAGCCCTGGAGGGCTACCTTAGTACATACCAGGTAGGGTGGCCCACAGCCATGTGAAACCTTCCAGCCCTGATAGCTGTGGGTCCAGATAACCTCCTGATAGCTTGTCCCTGTGAAAAGTGCGGGGACTACATGAGGACCTGGACCTGGGCTCTGAGGAGGCTGTCACCTTCCTGTCCTGTGTTCAGCCTGTGAAAGTGTGTCCAGCTTGCTCAGTTTTGAGCTTTGTTTCCAGGTGGCCGCTCCAGTCCTGACGTTTTTATTTTCGGTTCTTTCCTAGAATCCCCGAGAAGCTGACCCCATGAGTAAAGTGCAGGCTGAACTGGATGAGACCAAGGTCATCCTGGTGAGGAAGACGTCGGAAATGGGGGCTGCGGTGGGGAAACCGGGGTTGTTGGCCACGCTGCCTTTCACTTCATCCGTATCTTAATCCAGTTAACTTTGGTGGTGGAAGCCGGGTGACAGGCCACGTGGAGATGGGCACTTTTGCTCCACTGTCACTCATGCCTTTTCACCTGTGTGGACTCAGGCTCATTGGGCGTGGGGGCTGCTCTTGCAGCAGCCTTTGGGGTGGGGGTGGGGGAGGGAAATGAGCCCGCAGCAGGGCCCTGGGTTCTTTGCCCCTTGGAAGAGGGTCTGTGTGCTCATAGTCCCTGAAAGCGAAGGTGCTTGTGCAGACTGTAGTCATGACATTTAAACACAGGCCCCTCAAGGAAAGTGGAATGTGCCCTGTCCAATGGGAGTCCCTGTAAATGCACACAGGTGGCCTCTGCCTGCGTGGCTGTCCAAGCCTGTGCCCTCAGAAAGGGGCAGTGCTTTCTGTGCCAACTAGAACCTTCCAGGTTCCACAGGAAGGCCACTAGGTCCTGCTGCATGCCCACGTCAGACGTGCCTGGGTGCTTGTGTATGGGGCGGGGCCCAGGGGAGGTGCTCCCCCAATGGTGCTTGACAGGGACTCGTGGCTGCTCGCTGTGGACAGAGCAGAGTGTCGCTTCTGTTTCCTTCGTGCAGCACAACACCATGGAGTCCTTGTTAGAACGAGGCGAGAAAATAGACGACTTGGTATCCAAATCCGAAGTGCTGGGAATTCACTCTAAAGCCTTCTACAAAACGGTGGGTACGCTGGCCGCCCCGGGCGCCTTGCAAGGAGCAGAAGCAGCGCCCTTGTAGCCTGGGTGCTTGGCAGTGAGAATGAGCGGGGCCTGTCCCCTGTCACCAGCTGCCCTGCAAGAGGGCAGAGGTGGGTTCAGGTTCTGATGCGGGTTCACCTTTATCTGCTGTCTGCTGAGTGGTGGGGCACAGCCGTCCTTAGGTTCTGATGCCACCTGCTCTCGTGTCCCTTGCACAGAGTCTCATTGTGCATAGTGGGGGCCGAGGTCACTTGCTCTCCGCACACGGTTGCTTTCATGTGTGCCTTGGCAGGAGGTGCCCTGCGGGGTTGGGGTGTCTGAACAGGACGCAAGGGAGGAGGTCACAGGGGCCCAGCAACCGATCGTCTGAAGGAATGCCAGAGCCAGCCGGCCTTGTTGGGGGAGAGGATGGGCAAGGATGTCCTTGGCCAGCCAACGTCCATGCCTTTTTTTGTGTCTGACACCTTCCTGGTGGCAGAAAAGGGTGAGGGGGAAATGGTCTTGTCTGTGAACTGCTTCCAGACAGCTGCCTGGGAGGCAGCAAGGATGGGCACTTTCCCACCCTCTGTCCCGCTCAGCACTCTGGTTCCCGGGCTCCCTCACTGTATGTGCCCAGGTCACGGCCGCCTCAGTCTCCACTTAGTTCCTTTTTGTCTCTTACTAGGCCCGGAAACAAAACTCGTGCTGTGCAGTCATGTGACTGTAGTCCCCAGAGGCCCCCTCGCTGCAGAGTCCCTGTCATTCACATCAGAACCTCAGCTCTTGGAGAAGCCTAGCGGCCACAGAAGAACCAGAACACAGACACTCATCATCACCTTGGAGCTCCTGAGAAGAGCCGAGGGCTGGTGGAAGGGGCCTGGGGTGGGAAATGTTCTAATTTGTGCGTCTAGTGATTTTTGAAAAGATAATTTGAGGCCTTCAGAGGTGTATTTTTGGGCCAAATGAAACCATAAACACTCCATGACTCCTGCAGATGCCCAAGGGCTCATTTCTAACCCTGTGACGGCCCCAGGGTTAGAGCCAGCTCTGTGTCGATCCTCAGCAGCCTTTGGGTTTTACTTGTACATTAACTGTTAACAGTTCAGTAAGGGGGAGGGTTCTCGATCCACAGGGGTGGGGGGGGCAGAGCGCACACTTGGATTTCCTGGGGAAGCTACCCAGGGTCACTGGGGGGTGGGGGCAAGCAGGGACAAGGACAGGCCAGCACTACAGGGCCAAGGCCAGGATGAGATAGTCATGGAGTCACACATTCTGAGACATGATTTGCGTTTCTGCTGAGATCCCCTTCTACAGAGGTCCCCAAAGACGCCTGGGAGGTGTTTGGAGGAGGCGGTGCACCTGCCCTGACCTGCAGGTTGGCCTTGACCGTCAGGATCACAGGCATGTGCCTCTGGCAACAAGACTGTTTTGGCAACCATCTGGGTGGGGCCTACGTGTCTCAGCAAGTGACCTTTCCCTTGGCCACTGTTACTGGGCACCAAGAACGAGTGCCAGCTGACCCAAGGACTCCCAACACCTCATTATGGTCTGAGCCCCTTCCCCCCTCTGCCTAATCCTTAGCAGCAGGAAAATAGGCCACACAGCAGCCCAGGCTATGGCTCAGTGGTTTCCGGCCCCCTGCGGCCTGCCAGTCCCCTGGATCGTGCTGCCCCGTTCCACACTGCTGCCTCGTGCCATTGTGCCACCTGAGGACAAGAGGCACCCTTGGGACTAGTCCCCACAAAAGCCCTTGCTGGAGTGGTGTCAACTGGTGTGATCTCATCTGTGGGGGTCCTTCCTTGAGCATGCTGGTTTCTGCCCAACCTGAAGGTCCCACTCACCCAACAGGAAGTGCCAGCAGCCCTGAACTTTATTGTTTGGACCAGAATGTGGGACCAGTGTAGCTTCTGAGCGCACTGTCCCACACAGGTTTACTTGCTGGCTATCCTCTGGGTACTGCTGGCCTACCTACCCCTAATGTAGCCTGCCTGCCCGTGTGATTTTCCTCCTGCTGGATGCACCTCAGGAGGCGCAGACCCATCCTGCTCACTGTCACCTGAGATGGCTGTGACCCCACTTAAAACGGTGGGGTCATGGATGATGGAGAGGAGCTGGGGGGCAGGAGGATTTGGGGAAGAGGGAGCGGGTGGGGGCCTGGCTCAGACCCTGTGCCAGAGTGTCCCGTTCATGTCATTCTAATGTTAAGTCATCTGGCTAAGAGTGTATTTTAATAATCGCTGCCTAACTTTTCTCGTGTTGAGATGTTCCTATCTGGATAAAGTTGTCTTTTGAAATTCCCAAAATGGTCCTGTGCTTTGTTTGAGCCTCGGGAGGCCCCTTCCCCAGGGTGCTCTCCACTCAGTGCTATGTGGCT